AGACCCCTGGCTCTCTTCAAGAAGGCACTGGACAGTACCTGACCAACCAAGCTGTGATTCATACGTCAGTTTGAGTGCAGCCAGCAGTAACAGCCTGGTTAATCAAACCCTGATCCACCACAAGGCCTGGTCTCAGACTGAGCCGCAGGGGCATTGACCCCCGAAACCCTCTCCAGGTAAACTTATTGCACATGTACAGAGAGAGCAAGAGTACAGTACAGAACAGTATACTGTACATATTGCAGTCTCAGCTGCAGGGGCTCAAACCAGCAAGTGTGAGACATTCCAGCTCTCACAAAACCTAACAAACATAACAACTAAGACTGCTTAATTATGACAGAATAAATTAATTTTAATAGGGTATTTCAGCTATAGAGAAATCAATCAGGTAACCTATGAGACTTAAATTCTTGAATTTAGGGACCATTTTTTCATACCTCAGTACCTTAAAGAAACACTACAAATGAGAGAAGGCAACAGCATCAATAATGGATCTAGTATTTACTACAAATAGGAAGAATTTTTTTCAACATAAACTATGGAAATTCACTTGGAAAGATTTATCCTATTCTACAGGAAGTAACATATATTGCTAGGGATGGAAGAAAATCCCAGACAGGGACAACTACAGTGGAACCCCAGTTTTCTTCTTTAATCCGTTCCAGAAGGTCAGCCGAAAACCTATTTGTACGAAAACTGAAGTAATATTTCCTATAAGAAATAATGTAAATTCAATTAATCCGTTCCAGACACCCAAAAATATTAACAAAAAATACATTTTATAGAGAAGAACTATAGTTTTACATACAGAAAACAACGAGAAATAAATATAAAGCACTAATAAAATGGATAAATGAACATTTAAATCACTTTTACCTTTACTGAACACTCTTGTTGGCATATGGAAGATGGCAAGGAGGGGAGAGGGAGGAGAGGTTATCTCTACCACCATCACTACCACAATCACTACCACCCTCTACCACAATCATAACCACTACTATCATTACTACCACCATCACTACCAACCTCTACCACCAATGGATATACTGTAAGTCACTCTATCTGACTTTTTTTTGGGTTATCCTAGGTTCTCTACACATGTACTATGCAAGATAAGATTTCGTTCAAATTTTTAACCCCGGAGGGTTAGCCACCCAGGATAACTCAAAGTTCGTGCGTCATCAAGGACTGTCTAACTTATTTCCATTGGGTCCTCAATCTTGTCCCCCCGGGCCCTCCATGTGTGAAGCGGGAGCTTTAGCCACCAGGCCACCGGGCTACATAATAATCTATGTAACTGTATTTGTGTATACCTTAATAAACTTAATCATTACCACCCTATACCACCATCACTACCACCTTCTATGTGTAACAAAGGCAGACTGAGTCATGAATGTATGAGTGGCCGCACCCAGTGGGCAGGTGGACACGTCTGGTACGGGCGATTTCCGAGCAGCTGTACGAAAACGGGGAAAATTTTGCCGAAAAGAGTGGTCAAAAATTGAATTGTATGATAATCGGACTGGACGAAAGTTAGGGTTCCACTGTACATGATTAGAAAGAAAATTGTGATGATCTAAGGCATTATTTCAGGAGCACAAATGGGGATAAAATGTTATTGCAACACATAAGAAAATGGTGCCACCTAATATAGAATGGTTTATTGGAGGGTGCCAGACAGTCAGTAGAAAGAAAGGACATTGACTCAGTATACAATGAACAGCAATTCATATTCTTACCAGAGATTTCAGTAAGCCAGAAATAAACGAATATACAAAAATTTGAGTGCAGAAGGAAGAAACTGAAGAATTGTGGCCAATGCAAGATGGAACCAAATCTTTTACTCACATTTATAAAATCTAAACTGCTGCTAGTGTATAAAGCAAAATACTATGCAAAGAATTGAGGATAAGAAAATAATTAAATTAGAAGAGGAAATGTGCAAGATATTAAAGTTCTAGTGTGTGGCATGTACACCCACTTGTTATACTCCTTTATACAAACATGTACCATGCTGACATAAAATTATTATTATTAGATGGAGCAAATTTTAATCACAAATAGCCAGATGAAATTGAGATTGAAATATGTTGAAAAGAAAATAATCACTAGGACAAGACAAGGTAGCAAGAAAATAAACTTATAGAAATTATTATTATTATTATTATTATAATCTTGGGGGAGTGCTAAACCCATAGGATTATACAGTACATGTGGGGGGGGGGGAATGGAAGGCATTCAGGCTCAATTCAGGGAACTGGAGCACAGATCCAATTCCCTAGATCAAGAGCCCCTCACCAAAACTTATAGAAAATGTTACATAATGTGCTAATATTTAAAACCAGGTGATGGACTCAATCTTTACACTCCAGGCCTGTTTTATTCACAAACATTGTTGTCAAAATAATGAAACAAGCAATTATACAACAGTTGCTGAAACCTTCGAAGATGAAAAGGTTGCTAACTAGCAAACAGTTTTAAGATGAGAGATGAGATAAGATTTTGTTCGGATTTTTAACCCTGGAGGGTTAGCCACCCAGTATAACCCAAGAAAGTAAGTGTGTCAGTAAGGACTGTCTTATTTCCATTGGGATCCTCAGTGTTGTCCCCCTGAATGCAACCCACACCAGTCAACTAACTTGCTAAGTGAACAGGACAACAGGCATAAGGAAATACATCAAATGTTTCCACCCTGTCAGGAATCAAACCCGGACCCTCAGAGTATGAAGCGAGAGCTTTGCCAGTTAGGCCATGGGGGTCCTGTGGTTTTTGTTTGGTAAATTCTTGTACATTAAATCTGTTAAATTAATGTGACAGAATTTCAAGAATAGCTTAAGAAAGAAAGATAGGCAAATTGCACTTTTTAGACAGAGGAGTTGATTATGAAAAACAAACTAATGTGGAAACTGCAAGAATAAGATGACTTGAAGGCAGATTTGTAAAGTAGATGAGAGATTTTCAGTTTACAAGGAAACTGCAGGTAGTGATAGAGGTTAAAACTGTACTGATGGGAAACATGACTATCTTGTGCCAAGAGGCTCATTGCTTGTCCTGTTAATGTTTCTAATTTTATATAAAAAAGGACTTTCCAGATAGAATATTATTATTATAATCAAAAAGAAGTGCTAAGCCACAAGGACTATACAGCTCCAGATAGAATAAAAACTATACATGTTTGTGGATGATGACAACCTCTTTTATAAGATAAGAATAAAATTATATTTAAAAACCCTGCAAGAATACTTTTGTAGGCTGAGAAATTGAGATGAAGTATACAGTGATAGGATTCAGTGTGGGTATAGTAACTTTTATTCTTTGTATATTATTTTGATATTTAATTTAGATTTTACAAATTTTATTGTTTTGTTCAGTTTTCTTCTGCAGAAATATTCTTTTATCAAAGTGCCTTCTTATCACTTAGTATTTATATACTGTACAATACAATATTAATTTCTGACTTCGTAAGTTTCAAATTTAATTTTTTTTTGCAGTTGATATCTTTGCTCTTAAACTGGCTTTGTGACTGTATAGTGTATAGCAACAACATACAGGTGGTTCCTGCTTTACAGTGTTTTGCTGATGCAGCAGTTTTCAATTACCCATTCTTCATTGATTCAACTTCCTGCAATAAATATATTCACTGCTCACTATAAGTTAAGGACGAAAATATTTTAAGCTAAGTAATGTGTGTGTACCTGGAGAGGGTTTTGGTGCTCAACGCCTCTGCGGCCCTGTCTAAGACCAGGCCTCGTGGCAGATCAGGGTCTGATCAGCCAGGCTGTTACTACTGGCTGCACATAAACCAACATGTGAACCACAGCCAGGCTGATCAGTTACTGACTTTAGGTGCCTGTCCAGTGCCTTCTTGAAGACAGCCAGGAGCTTATTGGTAATCCTCCTCATGTATTCTGGGAGGCAGTTGAACAGTCTTGTGTATACTGTATATGCACTTTTTAGGTCTAGCTCTGTTGCTCATGTAATATATGATAGTGTAAACATATCAGGTTTTATATGCATTTGAAAGTGAAAAAAAGGTTGTGTTTCACTTTACAGCGATTTTCACTTTACCTAAAGTCGGTACCTGACCAGCCGGGCTGTGGCTCGTACGTTGGTTTGCATGCAGCCAGCAGTAACAGCCTGGTTGATCAGGCTCTGATCCACCAGGAGGCCTGGTCACAGACCGGGCTGCGGGGGCGTTGACCCCCGGAACTCTCTCCAGGTAAACTCCAGGTAAACAGTGGCAGCCTGGAACCTAATCTGCAGTATAAGCAGGGCCATCCTGTATTGATTTATAATCTTTTCTTAAATTTTTGCTTTTATATTCTAAATTTCAAAACTATATTCCTTATTGAACAAGATTTATTGTAAAGTTCACATCTACAGGCAAATATAAATTTCTTATCACATTTTAAAATATATGAACCTCTGTGCATAGGTGCTTATTCAGGTTTGCATGTGTAAATATGTGGTAACCTCCTTTCTAATATGGTATATATTTTTAAAAAGATTTAATGGAAAATGCACGTAAATAATAGTTCATATGACCTTTGGTGAGTTTGTATGTATGTACATGTAAGTTTCATTGCAAACAACATTGGCATTTAATAAAATAAAATGTTTATTAACATTACCCTATTTTGATTACTTTTGTAATTATCATTAGAAGTACAGTGGACCCCGGTTTACGATATTATTTCATTCCAGAAGTATGTTCAGGTGCCAGTACTGAACGAATTTGTTCCCATAAGGAATATTGTGAATTTGATTAGTCCATTTCAGACCCCCAAACATACATGTACAAACGCACTTACATAAATACACTTACATAATTGGACGCATTGGGAGGTGATCGTAAACCAGAGGTCCACTGTATATGAAAACTAGGCATATTTAATGTCATTCATTGAAATGGTCAGTAGGCAGATATATGAGAGAGTTCAGTGTTAAATGAATGCTTTACTTAAATTTTTCAAATTTTAACGATGATTTATGTTCTTCAGATACGGAGGATAAAAGCAGAATCTGAAGTCTTACCAGGAACACCAGAGAATTTGGCATAAAGACTTTGTCTCATCTGTAACCTACCTGCTGATGATCTGGAAATCTGAAGCTGTTGACATGAAGTTTACAGTTTTTTCTTCAGGAAAATGTCCTAAATGTATTTAGCATTAATTGCCAACTTTGTGTTAATTTGTTTATAATCATATAAAACCATTTATATGAATCTTCTGTTATATTCTTATTAACTGTTAGATCAAATAATATTTCACCATCTGTAATTTTTTTCCTAAACTATTGCTAAGGAAATTTAATTTTATTTTCTGTCACTATGCAAGACATTTTAGCATAATTAAAATTTATTGCACTGGTTTTCATTATTTTAAATATGTATTATCTTACTCTTAATATAAATGTTGTGGATACAAATACCTTATCAGTTCAACATCGTATGTCAAGATATATAGTTTTTTACTTTTCAAAAAATTTATGTACCTGTATATTAGGCATTTTTTCATATCACAATAAATTTAGCAGGCTACTGGCATAGTGCATTGGATGTTATGTGCCTCTCAGTCTGCCAGGTTAAGGAAAGTAACTGGATCAGTAATGTTGGACACAGCCTTTCCTTACAGTATGTAGGGACCTTGACAGGCTATGAACTTTTTTGTCCCTGACAGGGTATACAAAATTTGATTAGTGCACATCTATGAGAAATTCTTCATTAATATTTTGTATTTTTAAAAATATGATTCATTAAATACAGTACTCAAAATTTGTATACCATGAGGGAAATATATTATTATTATAATCAAGGGGAAGCGCTAAACCCGGAGGATTATACAGCGCCTGGGGGGGGGATGTGGAAGGCATTCAGGCTTAATTCGGGGAACTGGAGCACAGATCCAATTCCCTAAATCAAGAGCCCCTCACCAACATCAAGGAACCTTCCTTGAGGGGAGGGAAATATAAACTCTGCAGTATTCAGGAATTTTATTGTTTAATTAGAAGAATGAGATGATGCAAAAGTAGGAAGTATTGAGAATATTACCATCATATCAAGGTGGGAGACAGCCAGCGTGTTGAAAAAAAAAAAAAAAGTTTTTATTCATTCATTGTTTAAATGATTAATATTTGTGGCCAAGAAAAACATGATTGCCAGTTTTTTTTTTTTTTTTTTTTTTTTTTTTTTTTTTTTTTTTTTTTTTTTTTTTTTTTTTTTTTTTGAACAGTTTTACTGTATGATAAACCATACCCCCGGCCGGGATTGAAACCGCGACGGGGGCTGGAGTTTTGAGACTCTATGACCGCGGGTTCAATCCCGGCCGGGGGTATGGTTTATTTGCAATCGTGTCATTACGATTTCTTAAGTCTTACTGTATGATATTATATGTAAAAGATCCTCCTATATAATTTAAAACTATTTATTCCACATTTTGGAATATATTTGCAAATTTGTGCCTAATTATCAGGTACAATATTTCATAATTTTTATTATAGTATTCATGTTGTAAGGAGAAATACGGTATAATGAGTGTTGTCTTTTATTTCTTCCTGTTAGTGTGTGGTTACAGCCTGTCCTCCTAACACTGTCGATTTCTTATAGAATTTTTTAAGGAGATTTCTCAGTATATGCTATTTAGTTTTGGTTTCCTTAAGTTAGATTGTCAACCATTAACCCTTAAGCTTTCTGACATGCCTCATATGTCAAGGGACCAGATGGTGTCTTTATAAAATACACCCTCTGCCTAATTTTTTGTGCCTTCAGGGTTGCTGCCTATCACCATTTGAGGTTTGAGCTCAACTGGGAAAAAATCCAGGATCAAATGGTTCATTCAGTGCATCATGGATAACACTACCTCAGTAGTACATGTAAACAATGCCTAAAACCTGTCATGATACCACCTGCTTACCTGCCAACAAACTGGGTGTGCAACTGAAAGGAAATTGCTTTATTTGTTCAAAATTTATTATGCTATTATAATACTAAAATTAGGTAGTAGGTTGGTAGACAGCAACCGCCCAGGGAGGTACTACCATCCTGCCAAGCGAGTGTAAAACGAAAGCCTGTAATTGTTTTACATGATGGTAGGATTGTTAGTGTCCTTTTTTTTTCTCTCATAAACATGCAAGATTTCAGGTACATCTTGCTTCTTCTACTTACACTTAGGTCACACTACGCATACATATACAAGCATATATATACGCACACCCCTCTGGGTTTTCTGCTATTTTCTTTCTAGTTCTTGTTCTTGTTTATTTCCTCTTATCTCCATGGGGAAGTGGAACAGAATTCTTCCTCCGTAAGCCATGTGTGTTGTAAGAGGCGACTAAAATGCTGGGGGCAAGGGGCTAGTAACCCCTTCTCTTGTATAAATTACTAAATTTAAAAAGAGAAACTTTAGTTTTTCTTTTTGGGCCACCCTGCCTTGGTGGGATATGGCCAGTTTGTTGAAAAAAAAATACTAACAATAAAATTCTGCAAAGATTAAGATTCTTTATTTCAGCATGATGCTATGTAGACTTAACTTAGGACACCCCACGATACTATGTAGACTTAACTTAGGACACCCCACGATACTAAGTAGACTTACCTTACGACAATCCAATAAAATCAAATAGTGTGATTTCCTTGCTTCAGGGAGCATTACAACTTGGAAAAAAATTGTACTACAGTATCATAAAATTTCATGGTACATTGATTTGGAGGACAAAATAAATAATGGAAATCAAAAAATAATTATTTGTACAAATTAACAGTGAATATTTCTATTGGGGCTATTGCATGCTATGCAGCTCTGCATGTTTCAAGTAATAAAACTCCTTACAACACACTTGTTATCCTAACAAAGTAGTGCACGTAATGTTAGGTATCAAAAATAGAAGTAAACATACTTAGGCATAAGTAAATTGGAAAACAAATACTTGTGTGTGTATTTATGCTGATGTTGCTGACAACTGATTTTTTTTGCCAACTTCAAAATGCCATAAAAATGAAGTTTTCCTTTAATTTAAATTTTTTTTTTTTTTAGAACACTTTGTCTAAAAAAGTAATTATTACCATTTTGCTGCACAGGAGTTTTAATTTCTGGGTACTCCACAATTTATTGGTTAATAAAATTAAATTCTAAACTACAGCAGCCATAAAGCTGTTAAAAACCTTGTACAGTGGAACCTCAGTACTCGAACAGCTCCCTCTACTCTACTCTAACAAAGCTCGGCACATGACCAAACAAATACTACGTGCCAGAACTTCACTGTAAACTATTTCGTGTTTCTTCGCATTTTTTGGTGTTTTTTATATTATATAAATAAGTCACCATGGGGCCTATGTAGATTAGTAATAACAGCCGATCTGTTCGATACTCTAACAGATTGGCACTCGAACAGCCTTCTGGAATGAATTAAGTTCGAGTACTGAGGTTTCACTATGTGTGAACAGAAAACTGGGACACACACACCAGACTAAAATGCACAATCAAATAACCATGTTTGCATTTTGGTGTCAACATTGCTTTAGCAATGGTTTTCAGCTCAAGGGAAAAAAATTGACATTAGGAGGATAGGCTGATCGTTATCCTTGGAGGTATAGCGTTTTGTCTTCTGCATTCTCATTTGTCTCTATTAGTTCATGAGTAGATCATGTTCAATCTGTCAAACATTAGGTGATATTAGTGATAAATATAGTCTATTCTTTTATAATAAATTACTATTTAGATATGATAAAGTGAATGCAGATTGTCTACTTTTACATACTACTGTATATACATTTTATTTATAAAAAAAATTTAACATTAACAAATTTAGTACAACCTTGTAGTAGGTTGGTGGCTATTCATCTGCTTAGGTAACAGTGCAAGTTAAATACAAAAGTTTCCCCTCCTTCCTTGTATCATACAAAAAAGACCAAGGTCATTTTGAATCCAAAAAAATATTTAGGTTGCATACTGTATTTGAAACCTCTCATAACTTACCATATTGTTAAATTTATTGACTGGAATGGACTGCCTACACTACTATACAGTAAAAAAAAAATCAATTTAATGAACCTTGATTTAACAGGTTTCAAATTTAGCAAACAGAATCCATTATCCAGACAACATGCAGAAACAGCAAAGTCCATTGTGTCTAGAATTGTTCATTATTACCATGATCAGCTGAATAAATTTATTTTAGAAACACTGTCTGTTGTTTCCAGAATTGTTCATTATTGTTACTATCATGGCAAACATCTTGTTGTTTGAATTTAACAGACAATTGTCATTACCAGATGTCCCTCTTTTCCTTATTAGTCCATTAAATCAATGTTTCACTGTACAATAAAATATAAAAGAGGGCAATGATGTGCTGGTGTATATGGTACATGTGCCATAATAATGAAAGATGTAGAAATTTACATATAGTAATTAACTAAATTGCTAGGTGGGGGTTTTTATGAAAATTTATTTCAAAACTGCTAAATTTGTGTTAATATTGGTAGAATTACTGACAATATTTTAAGTAAAAGAACACAAGTGCAACTAATGTGACATTTTATTGTGGCAACGTTTCACTCTCCAGGAGCTTTGTCAAGTAGTAACGTCTTAACAAAGCTCCTGGAGACCGAAACGTTGCCACAATAAAATGACACATTAGTTACACTTGGGTCCTTTTACGTAACACTACTAAATTTGTTGGAATAATTTGAAATGATTTAAGTTATTTATGTGAAAATTTCAAATTCAGATACATGTAATATGAGAATTTTCCTGACTGTTATCTTAATAGGCAGGACTTTTCTAGAAAATGAACCACCAAGTGCCCTAATGATTCATTCTTCATACATAGTCATGTAATATTTGTAATACAGTATGTTGATAATGTTTTGTAACTATTTTGGGTTCTACAGTATAAAGCAAAGGTGCAGAAAAGAGACTTTTGTACATCCTTTATAATGTACAGTGTTGCAAAAGATAAAAATATGATTATTTAATTTTTGGATTGAATGTTGTTTATACCTTGATGCCAGTCAGGGGCTCTTTATCCAAGGAATTGGACCAATCCTTTCTTTTCATCTTTTCATGGATCAAATTCTGATTGCTTCCCATTCCCTTTAGACAAAATTCTTGCACACCCCACACCCAATACCAGTTGTGTTCTTTAGTGGCCAGTTGCTGAAGGACTCTTCACCTCAATCCGCCCACATACGTATCTCCTTCCATTTTTTGATGCTTACCAGGCTGACAAGCTATGAAGACTCCATCCTATATAGCCAACACCAACATCAGAGTAGACTGACACTCCTCCCTAAATTCAAGTTGTAGCCTCCTGCATTCACTAGTGCAACAAAAACTCTTGCAGAATGCACCATGAATATTTACATACTACTTGAACTTCAGGAACTACCCATTATGAAAGTTAAAAATTTTGTCCATCTTACCCAAGCAACATAGCCATCTTGCTTTTCATTGCTATAAACCTTCCTCCTTGGTCTGGATAGCACAATACAAATTGAAAGTAAGAGAACTTAATCAACACCAACAGCAATTGCTAGTGTTTTGGCTACCTGGTAAACTGTTGTAGATGACAGGGAGAGTGTACAGTCTGTGGAATCACAGACTGCAATGGCCCATCCTGCCAATGACCTTTCATGTCTGGACTATAAAAATGATCTTCCATCTCAGGACCTTGCTTCCACTCTGCAACTTCATTTCCCATTTCCTTAAGTGACATGCTTCCTCTGGCTTTGACCCCTTCTACATCTGTGACAGTCACAGAACATGTGTCTTCACCTTCCTTCCCTAATCTTCAAATACACCATCTGAGTAGACTGACCTTTCATGATGTCCTTTTTTCTTAGAAGTTACCAATTCCTCTACTGTGTTCCTCATCCTCTTCAGACTGAGGGAAGGTAGATGGGTTGAGGACACTGGTGGAGTGGTCAGCATTGCTCCATCACCTCCACCTTAACAAGCTTTATCTAAAATAGTGGCACATTAGTGGGCTTTCATTCAAATTTAAACTGAGACTTACCCTTCCCTAATTTCAAATAAAATTAGTAGTCCTTTCATTTCCCCAAATTCCATTCCCTTATGCCCCTCATCCTTTAATAAAATTTTTTGAAAACCTTATTTAAAAAACATACTTAACCATTTTAAAAATGGGCCTTGGGGGTTTTTTCATTAAATTTAAATTTTGGTTGATATAATTCCAAGAAAAAATTAACATCACCAAACACAGATCCCCCTTTATATTTTGAAAACCCCCTTTTCAGAAGACAAAAAGGGGAGGGCCTTGTTTTTTAAGTTTTATTTTTTAAAATTGGTTTTTGTTTTTTTTTAAACAATCCTAAAATTCCCACACGTCCCCATTCATTGCCTTTAAAGGGGGTTAAAAAATCCTTAAGGCTGTTTTTCAAAAAAAATTAGAGCTCCTTTTCCTTTTTTGCAAAAGATAATTAATTCCCCGGCACTTTATGCAATCATTTTTAAAAAGGTTAATCCCCTTTGATACCCCGTTATGAGTTTCCCCCTTTGGAAAAAATAATTCATTAATGCCCCGGGCCTTTGCAGGCTTTTTGCCAACCCGTTTGGTTTTTCCAAGGGGGGTTCCAGGGGCCCCCCGCCCCCCCCCCCCCCCCCGGGGGGATCAACCAGGCTGTTGCTGCTGGCTGCACAAAAAAACCACGGGGACCACAGCCGGGTTGGTAGGAACTATTAGGTGCTTGCCATGCCATTGAAGACGCCAGGGTTTTTGGAAAACCCCCTTATGATCTGGGAGGAGTGAACAGTCCGGCCCCTGACACTTATTGTATGGTCTTTAAACGTCTAGTGACCCCTGCTTTTCTTTGGGGGATTTGCACTCTGGTCTTTTGCTTCGTAGTGATGATTTCCGTGTCAATTCGGTACTATCCCTCTGGGATTTCCCAGGTGTATAAATCATGTATCTCTCCCCCGCGTTCCGGGGAATACAGGTTTAAAAACCTAAAAGCCTCCCAGTAATTGAGGTTTTTTCTCCTTTTTTGCGCGCCGTAAAGGTTCTCTGTAATTTTCTAGGTCGCAATTTCCCCTCCCTTGAAAGGTGCTTTTGGTCCCGCATATTCCAGCCTAGTAGAACAAGTGACCTGAAAGTTATCATGGGGGCCCCCCAGTTTTGAAGGTTCTCATTACCCATCCGTCATTTTTCTAGCAGATGCGATTGTACAATGTTATGGTCCTTAAAGGGGAATCCTCCGACATGATCCCCCCGGGGCTTTGACTTTGGGGTGTTTCGCTCTATTTTGGGCCTAAAAATTTTGTTTTGTACTTTGATAAAATTTTAATTTCTCGTGTTTACCATACGGGAAAATTGAAATTTCTCATCTTTGAACTTCATTTTGTTTTTGCACCACTGAAAGATTTGGTTGATGTCCGCCGGAGCCTTGCAGGGGTCTGCAATGGAAGACATGTCATGCAATTCGGGTGTCACGCAAAGGAAGACAGGTGCTGTGGCTGACATCCTTGTCTATGTCGGATATGAGGATGAGGAAAAAAGGAGCGAGTACTGTACCTTGGGGAAAAAGGTTTTCACGTAGCGCCTCGGCTTTACTTTTTTGGCGACTACCTCTTTTCGTTATGAGGAAATTTAAATCCATCGACCGATTTTCCCCTGTTTTTCCCTTTAGCAGCATTTTGTGCGCTATTTTCGCCATGTCACACTTGTCGAACTTTTTTAAAGTCGTATATATTACACTGGGATTTTTTTGTCTTCTAGTGCATTTAGGGGCTTTTCGTAGGTCCAATATTGAGAAGACAGGGGCGACCTTTAAAACCCCTGTTGGAGCGACCTAATGAATGTAGCGACAGAAAGGGAGGAGAATGATTTTTTATTTTTTTTTGCTAACCCCACATGTAAATGTAAATAACCTTTTTACCTTTTTCCTATATTATCCTTTATAGATAATAAAAAGGGGTTAAAAAAACCCCAATGGGAAAAAAGTCACTGACTTTTTTTGGGGTTTTCCTAGGGTTTTCTACACATATCTGCTATGTAGATAACAAAAGTTATAGCACCCTAGCAGGTCTTTTATCACAATTCCATACACCCCTAGCAGGGCTTGCATCAAAAAAAAAAACCAAAGTACCCTAGCAGGTTTTTACAAAGTTCCTAGCGAGGGGTGATGGGCAGCCCCCCCAAGTGCTAAAAAGTAAAATGGTCTCCCCGGCATTGACACCAACCCCGATGGTGGTAGGAGGAGATAAGAACATAAGAAAAAGGGCACTGCAGCAGGCCCACTGGGCCCCTTGAGGCAGGTCCAAGTCTCCTAAAGGCAACTGACCTATACACAAGCTAATCAGGTCCGCTCACACCCACTCATGTATTTATCTAACCTATTTTAAAAAATACAAATTTTTAGCCCTATAACTTAAATTGGGGGGTTTGTTCCCCTCATCCACAACCCATTACCAAACCAGTGTTTCCTAATCCTTCCTGAATTGAATTTTTCCAACTTACAACCATTCTGCAAGTTCCAAGGCTAGAATTTTTAGCACACTATTTACATCCCCTTTATTTATTCCATCTTTTTATTTATACACCTCAATCATTCCCCCCCCCAATTCTTGCCTTTCGAGAGAGGGAGATTCGGGTCCTCACATCCTCATAGGGAAGATTTTGAAAATGGGATAACTTTGTCTCCTCCTTTGTAATTTTCCAGTGCTTTAATTTCCCTTCTGTAATAGTGACCAAAAATGTGCGCATAATCTAAATGACCTAACCAAGGAATTTAGAGCTGAAGAACAACCTCAGACTGCTATTATTTATGCTTCTTGAATGAAGCCAAGGGTTCTGTTAAATTTATTGCGAACATTTTCACTGTTGCCTTGGGGTTTCAGATTACGCAAACCCGAACTCCAAATCTTTTTTTCAATCTGTAATGTTAAATCTACATTATTAAGTTTTTTATGTGGGATGGGATTTTCCTGTCCAACATTTTGAACTTCTTTGTCTGTATTTAAAAAAGCATCTGCCACTTCTCCCACCCCCATCATCTATTCAAATCTTCCCAAGTGCTCAAAAAGTCCTCGTCGAATGAATTCGACGGCCCATTTGGTGTCCTCGGCAAACTTCTTATGTTGCTCTTTTTTGCCCTCTCTATTCGTTATGAAGATTGTGAACAACAGGGAGCCCCAAAAATACCCCGTGGAACACCGCTTGCACTTCCCCACTCTGATTTCTCCCCATTAGCAAACTTTGCTGCCTATTTTCAACCATGCCTCTATCCAGGAAAAAATTTTTTCTCCTATCCAGTGCCCAATTTTCCCCAATATCTCTGATGTGGACCCTGCAAAAGCCCTTTAATCCCAAACACAATATCTATTATTTTCCAGACTACCCCCCAAAAAACCTTATTGAAAAAAGTTATAAAATTTGTAAGGCAGGAACGCCCCCTTTTTAAAACCATGCTGAGATTTGCTGATTAATTTATTTTTTTCAAAGGGGTACGAACCCTCGGCAAATTTTTGATTCCATAAATTTTCCCCCTATGGAGGTTAGGGTTATTGGTCTATAGTTCGAAACTAAAGACCTGTCACCTGCTTTGAAAATAGGTATCACATTTGCCATTTTCCACTTATCTGGCACCATGCCAGTTTGTAGTGATATGTTGAAAAGATTAGCTAAAGGTTTGCTAAGCTCCTCTTTACATTCCTTTAGAACCCTTGCGTACAGTTCATCAGGGCCTGGGGATTTGTTAGGTTTTAAGAACATAAGAACGAAGGAACACTGCAGAAGGCCTACTGGCCCATGCGAGGCAGGTCCAAGTCTCCTACCAGCTTAAGCCAATGCACCCAACCTAGTCAGGTCAGGTCACATTGACTTAAGGGAGGAACACGGCAACCAACCTGGTAGCACAAGCTATCAGGATGTATAGAGTTGAAGAACAACCTGAGGACTCCTATTATTTATGCTTCTTGATATGAAGCCAAGGATTCTATTAGCTTTATTGCGAACACTTATGCACTGTTGTCTTGGTTTCAGATTACTGCTAACCAGAACTCCTAAATCTTTTTCGCAATCCGTAATATTAAGATCTACATTATTTAGTTTATATGTGGCATGGTTATTATCCTGTCCAACATTTAGAACTTTGCATTTGTCTATATTAAACTGCATCTGCCACTTCTCCGACCACTGCATCAGTCTATTCAAATCTTCCTGGAGTGCTCGAATGTCCTCGTCAGAATGAATTCGACGGCCTATTTTGGTGTCATCGGCAACTTGCCGATGTCGCTCTTTATGCCCTCATCTATGTCGTTTATGTAGATTGTGAACAGCAGGGGGCCCAACACTGACCCCTGTGGAACACCGCTCGTGACGCTTCCCCACTCTGATTTCTCCCCATTTATGCAAAAACTCTGCTGCCGATTTGTCAACCATGCCTCTATCCAGGAAAAAATTTCTCCTCCTATTCCATGTGCTTTAATTTTCCTCAATAGTCTCTGATGTGGGACCCAGTCAACGCCTTACTGAAGTCCATATACACAATATCATATTCATTACCATGATCTACCTCCTCAAATACCTTAGTGAAAAAAAGTTAATAATTCGTAAGGCAGGAAACGCCCCTTTGTAAAACCATGCTGAGATTCGTTGATTAATTTATGCTTTTCAAGGTGGCTACGAACTGCCTCGGCAATTATTGATTCCATAAATTTTCCCACTATGGAGGTTAGGCTTATTGGTCTATAGTTTGAAGCTAAGGACCTGTCACCTGCTTTGAAAATAGGTATCACATTTGCCATTTTCCCACTTATCTGGCCCCAAATGCCAGTTTGTAGTGATATGTTGAAAAGATTAGCCAAAGGTTTGCTAAGCTCCTCTTTGTTTCCCTTTTAGAACCCTTGCATACAGTTCATCAGGGCCCCTGGGGATTTGTTAGGTTTTAATTTATCTATTTGCCTAAGGACCATGTCACTTGTGACCCTAATCGTGCACAATTTATT